AAAAAAAAACTGCCTACCTGAAGGAGCTCAATGCTGCCACCAGAATATACTGTTTGTTCCAGCCAAAACCTGGTGATAGGTAGATACACCCTGAACCCCCTTTAGACAGTTACTTTAAAAAGCTTGCTATTATAAATCCTTTCTTCCTCCTCCACCCATTGCACTGTCTCCATTTTTCTCTCTCCTTTTCGAGATAAGTTTTCTACCACCTAGAACTGTCTTTTCAAGGTCCTCAGAATGCAATCAAGGAAACAGTAATCGCAGCCAGGTAGGTACCTCATTCTAATTTGTACCACTGTCTCCAGTTATAAAGATCCTAGAAGTTCATTTCTCCTGCAGATAAGCATCAATGAACAAATCCAGATCACAGTGACCAACCCCCTCCCACTTATAAATGTCCACTTCCCTGATTCTGCTCATTATTATTAAGTTCCCAGCTTCCTTCGTTAGTTTCTCACCCTCCCTTTAAAACTCTCAGTTTCTTCTGTACAAATTTAAGTTCAGTTCATGCTGGGTCCTTCTCCCTGTTTCAACAGTTAATGAATAAAGTCTCTCCTTACTGCTATAACTAGTATCTAGCTTTGTTTATCTTTGACAGTATCAATAGGATTACTTCATGATTATAGTGCACTTAAATTATACAAATACAAAAACCATTGCCTTTACCTTTCTGAATTCTCACCAAGCAGATCTTTTAGATTTCTTTTTTAAATGCTTATTTATTTTGAGAGGGAGGGAGAGAAAGAGAAAGAAAGAGAGCACACAAGCGGGGAAGGGGCAGAGAGAGAGAGAGAGAGAGAGAGAGAGAGAATTCCAAGCAGACTCCACAGAGCCTGACATGGGGCTCAATCCCATGAAGCATGAGATCATGACCTGAACTGAAATCAAGAGTCAGACACTCAACTGACTGAGCCACCAGGCACCCAGATTTCCTTTTTTAAACATATTATTAAATTCTAAATTTCAATGATTTTTTTCTACCATTTATCCCAGGGTATATGGCATGGCTTTTAAAACATGAACTTGAGAAAATACAAGGAAACTACCCTGTAAGTTTTCTTTCCAGTGTCTCTGAATATATCATTAGAGTTGATTTAGTAATGACCAATAGAATATGAATTCAATAAACGAATGCTAAGTGGTGAAGTGGCAGAAATTCATGGTCCTGACAAAAGATCCTGTCTCTCACAGTATATAAAGTAGATATATCAATTTGCTATTACTCTATAAATATTTCAAAAATTCAAATTCCACATGGTTGTATACCAAAAAAAAAAAATTAGATATGCCACTTTTCTTTGGTAGAAAAGGAATTACATTTATTCAATTAGATTTAGTTCTAAACAGATTTATACCAAGATTGATTTTAGATTTTGTTATGCGATTATTTTATGCTATAACAGCGCATTCTAGACTTTTATTTCATTAGTCAATTTCATTGACTAATGAAGTGAATATATCATTTGGACACTATACAGGGGAAGGAAAAGAGTAATGGACTAGGGGGTAAAAACCTGGGTTCATTTCTATTCCGTCACAAATCAGTGGTGTGACCTTAGGTTACCATCTTACTACTTCAGATGCTTGGTTTGCAGGTCTGTAAGAGGTTGGACTATGTGTCTCTGAGTGTCTTGATTTCTTTTCTCAGCTTTAAAATACAACAATGTCTCTACCATGATCTGGGCTGTAATTGCTACCCTGTCAGTGAGGGCAACATAAGTCTTTTCTTTTTTTTTTTTTTTTTTTTGTTTATGCCTCAGTCATTTCTTTTTTTGTATTAAAGAGGAACTCTACCTCCTTTATGTTTCTCCATGGGGTCACTGAAATAATTTGCAAAGTGCACATAAAAGCATGTTGGAAAAAAGGTGTGAAACACTATATAAGGAGAGAGTCTTTTTAAAATTAATCTTGTTTACTGTTCCGCTGTAAAAATTATTAGCATTATTATGGTTCAAGAGTGCACTGATAATTGCACTTGAAAAGAACCCTTTATGATTAGATGTGGATGAACAGAATAAGATGCATCTGTCAGTTCTGATTTGCCGCAGCTGGTTTTCTTAAACTGGCACGTTCAACCCTTCTCTACTTATTTTGTGCATCTGGTAAGTTTTGGCTGAAATCAAAGATGTGTGATATTCACAGATTTCAAAGAAAATAGTAAT